GACATATGCTAGTTATTGCAAAAAAGGGAAACCATGGGACCTATGTTTCTTTGGGCCTGGCTTACTTCACTTAATATAATTTTTTCAAGTCTTTCCATTTCCTAAAAATGGGACAATGTCATTCTTTCTGATGGAGGCATAGAATCCCATTGTGTATATATACCACATTTTCTGGATCCATTCATCTATTGAGGGGCATCTGGGTCCGTTCCATATCTTAGCTATGGTAAATAATGCTGCAATAAACAGAGTCATACTGGTTGCTTCAATATGGTCTTGTTTGTGGTCGGGTAAATGCCCAAAAGTGGGATTGCTTGGTCATATGGGAGCTCTATGTGGAGTCTCTGATGAACCTCCATACTCCTCCCACTCCTCCATCCCTTCCCCACCCATCAAGTTTGAAGGCTGCTCACAGAATGTTGTCAAGGTGTACCTAAAGCATCTCCCACCTGCCTTATGAGCACATTTAGTCCTGCTTCTGCATCATGCTGTGTGGCAGTGAGGAGACCAGTACTTTCTACAGAGTGGTTAAATTCACAGATTGCAGCAGGCAACTTGCCTTCCTGTCTAAACCCATGACTAGTTAGGTGATTGCCTTCTGTACCTCGTTTTCTCATTCATAAAAAGGGGACCCTGAAAGATTACTTTGTATTAATATTGAGATGATTAAATAAAGCATACCGGGCATATAGTAAGTGCTCACTAGTAACAGTTACTGATAATAACTGGGTAGTAGTCAACATTCTCTATATAGGTCTTATATAAATTAGTAATGTTAATTCTTATAGCTTTATACATTCTTCTGTCTAGAAAATACTTCTTAATTTTCAGGTTGAGTGTATCATGATTCTATGTTCTTTTATTCTCACATATTCTACAACTACATTTTGAGATATAAGCTATTTTCATCTATCAGTTTTGTAACAAGCCACCTAACTGAAAGCTGTGTGTATGTGTGTGTTGACTTTCATTTGTTTCCCTAGGCATTTCAGATGGACACTTACATTATTCTTCGGTGAGCACCATCAGGACAGTGTTAAGGGCAATAGGCAGCATCACTAACTTATTGATGTTGAGAAAAACTAGTTTTTTAATGTTCTACCATTTAGCCTGATGCTATGATGATGTGTGTGTTTGGGGAGGGGGTATGCTTATTTGTTTTCACAGAAACACAACAATAAAGACATATTCTGATATTTTCTAGGATTTATTTTTATTTTTTATTTATTTATTTTTTTTGTCGGTCGTGGGACTTGAACTCTGGGCCTGGGCGCTGTCCCTCAGCTCTTCAGCTCAAGGCTAGCGCTCTACCACTTGAGCCAGAGCGCCACTTCCGGCTTTTTTCTTATATGGTGCTGAGGAATCAAACCCAGGGCCTCAGGCATGCAAGGCAAGCGCTCTACCACTGAGCCACCTTCCCAGCCCTAGGATTTTTTTAAATGGGAAATAAATGTTAAATGAATGAAAACTTTTTAAATATAGCAAGGTGATTGTATAATAGTTTTCATTTGACTTATATTATACTTAGTTATTAATTATAAATTTCAACAATTTTCATAATTAAATGTCTCCTATTCTTTGCCTTCATATACTCATATAACTGTATTTGTGTATTTATGATTTCTTCATTTGTGCATTGGTCTAGTCAACACAATTGTATTAATTCAAAATAAATAGCCCTGAACTACTTTATTTATTTATACATTTTCTATAATTTCTAATTTTTAAGTTATTTAGTATACTGGTTTTCATTTTTCATGCTAAATAATGCAAGTGATTAAGATCCTATGTTTTCTATTTATTACCGCTTTAGCTATGCTCTGCATTAAAAAAAAATGTATCATCATTGCACTATTTCATGTATTTCTTGGTTGCTTTCATCTTTGTTCTTCCACTGTATCATAAAAAGAGACATAGAAGATAGTAACAGCATTGAATGTTTTTGGTTTTTACTTTTCTCCATTTTCAAATATTCTCCATTATCATTTTTATTTTCCTTTAACCTAGGATACTTAGAAAAGTATTTTGTCATAAACTTTCTAAGATTAACCCCTTCTTCTTCTTCATGTGAATGTGTTTGTGTGTTCGTGCTGGTCCTGGGGCATGACCTCAGGGCCTTGGTGTTGTCCTTGAGCTTTTTTGCAGAAAGCTAACATTCTACCACTTAAGTCACAACTCCACTTTTGACCTTTTGATGGTTTATTAGAGATAAGAGTCTCATGGACTTTGTTCCCATTCAAGCTGGCCTTGAGCTGTAATCCTCAAATCTCAGCCTTCTATGTAGCTAGGATTATTAGCATGAAACATTGGAACCAGTGTTTATCATTAATTTTTAATGAATTGATTTGCTTTAGAAAATGCAGTGTAAATGAGCAATTTCTTTAGGATTTGTGTTATTTTGCTTCTTACAAATTTTCCCTGCTATAATGCAACCTTTTTAATTTCCTCGTTGAATTCCTATGTTCTGTAATATTTTTGAATATTCTTTCTTTTTTAGTTATTGTTTAGGACCATTATTTTTATGTGGTTTCATTATTACATCTACTCAGTTTTGTTTTTCAGTCTTTAAAGTTTCTTGGCCCTTATTTTATTTGCAAAATAATTTCCTTATCTTTCTAGTTACATTTTTTTCTGCAGAGTCGTTCTGTTTCATGAGTGTCATTTTTTAATGAATTTTGATTCTGGTGTTATTGTTTGTTTCCTTAATTTCTTAACTAGGTCAGTGACATCTCATCTAAATTGTCTGTCTCTTAAAGACACTATTATTTGTCAAACATTTAAATTTTGCTTCTTTTAAATTTCTTATAGTTTATATAACAAATTGTGTCATTCTGCCCCAATATTCTGTCTGTCTTGCTGGTAGTTTCATGCATTTCTGATATCAGGTGGGCCAGCTTCAGATAACAAATTGGCCAAAGATCATATGTGCTACTACAAACAAATGCTTTAGGAACTGACCCCATGATTCTACCACAACTCCTTTTCCTCCCTTGTATGGTAGGGCTGGGCTGCTCTCCCTTAACCTGGGATTAAAGAGATTCTCACTAACTGTACCTGGCCAGGACATGTGACAATAAAACTCCCTGAGTTTGGGGTGGGAAAAGGAGAGTTTGTGACTGTTTGTTTGTGACTACTTAGCCTATGCTAAGTAATTCCCAAATGCTTTTTTTTCTGGACTCATATAATTTATTTTGCCTATGAACATCAAATCTACAAGTTTTCCCTACCACCTTTTGCTTTAAAAATTAGATCCCTGAATCAGAAATCTGAATTTTGTGTCATTTGATGTAAACGCAAATGTTATAGCACTTAGGAATGCTTGTAATGTTCAACTGATACAAGGAAAAAGTGAGACAGAAAAATTAGATGTTCAGCTCTCATATTGCTGTTATTTTCAACCACAGTATTTTTCTCATTGAGTATAGTAATTATGTTGGGGTTGGCTTTAAAATTATGGTCTTGGGTTTAGAAGATTATTTAGGCGGTTTCTGAAATTGTGCTTTGATAGAGATGAAATAAGTATTTTTTTAATGTCAGAGTAATTCTTTCACTCTAGAAATAAAGAATACATGGTCCATCCTTTTAACAGAATTTAAGTGTACTTTTGGAATGCATTTTGAAATAGAGCAGGTAATCAAATACTTGATTGATAATTGGTTGGACTGATCTTTAAAGTTCATTCAAATTTATCTTAGATACTTAAAATCCTTTTGTTATTTAAAAAAGAGCAAAAATGAATAGAAACAATAACCCCCAAATCTCAAGGGTTATCTTTTCATTATAAACTGGTTACCCTAAAAACGTCCTGCTAAATTAAAACAATAATCATTGTCTTAATTGTAGTAATGAGGAAAATCAGTTAGGTGTAGATTACAAAGAGAGAAGAAAGGAGAAGGGAGAGGAGGAGATGGGGGGAAAGGGGATAAGAGAGCAGAGGGAAAAGGAAGAGAAAAGGGAATAGGGAGAGGGAAGAGAGGAGGGAGAGGGACAGTGTCCAGCAGAGGAAATGAAGCTTGGATTGAATTTTCTTCCCAATAGCTAGTAGTTTACTGAGTTGGGTTGTTTCATTTCATCCCTTGGAGCCACTTGAACACATCACAGAATTGCTGTCATGCTTTTGGCTCAAGTGTTAACATTTGCTTATAAAACATCTTGGATCAGAGAGCAAAGCACTTCAAATCAAGAGTCTCAATAATGTTCTTGCTTTCCATTCCTGGCGCTAGAACTTGGCTTCAGAAACTTTATTCACACTTATTAGATTGCCTTCATAAAATGAAAAGACAAGATGATCATCTATCAAGAGCTGGCTTATTTTACTGTTGCTCTAAAACTTGAGCCACACCTCCAGTCCTAACTGTAACTTTATTACTAGCCAGCAAACAGGTTCTATAGCTAACTCTTTACATTTCTACTTGTACAAAAACTAGGAGATACTGAGAAGGGGGTGGGGTAAAAGAACAATAAAGGGGGTTAAATCTTGACTAAATTGTAATGCATGCAAATGTGAAATGCCATAGTGAAACTCCTGTGTATGATTACTATACACAAAAAATGTGAGAAAAAAATGATAGAAAAAGAAAAGAGGCTTTTTTGGAGGATGCGCATCAAAGGGAAAGAAGACCTCTTGACATTGTTTTAAGGAGAGGAGTTATTCAAGAGAATAATGGACGGGTGAGTTTGATTGAGCCACATTGTATAAATATATGGAAATGTCACAATAAATATCCCTTGTACATTTAGTACATGTAAATAAAAAGTCTTTGAAAATTGAAGAGAATATAAGGGAGGAATAGGACTTTATCATATAGTTTCTTCTCATTTTCCTTCTTGGTAAAGAAACATATTAACCCTTTTATCCATTATCTTAAAATCTAGAGGAAAAAATATTTCCTGTTGTGTCAGAATTCTTCTTCCTCTTGGTAACAGAAATTAGTTCTGTCTTAAATATAATGATTTTAATTTGTTAAATTACATTAAAGTTTTTGTTTTTTTGTTTGTAGGTAGACTCGGCCCTCTTTGCCTGCATTTTGCTGTGCAAACCTGCTTCATGAAATGGAATGAAGTTGAACAGTCCTTCTTTGTCCTTCTTTTGTCCTTCCTTGCATGTGACTCTCAGAGAACATTGGGATGATTTCACGTGTGCATAACTAGAACCCTTACTGCAGCGATGAGTTCAGACGAGAAGGGCATATCCCCTGCTCATAAAACATCCACCCCCACCCACAGAAGTACCTCATCGTCCACGCCCTCTCAGAGAGAAAGTCGGCAGGTAAGAGAAGAGGAGGAAATGAATTTTGTTCTTATGCAAGTACAGTACCGTTAGGAGAGGTGGGGGTTGCTAACCAATTCTGAAATTTTGTTGGGATGTCATTTGTTTCACAGGAAAGCTACTTTGTTTCTGTGGATACACAGATGATGTCATGAAGCCATTAAATGTGCTTTTCTCTTATTTAGGACCCTTTTAAGAATGCAGACATAAGGAAGGGGACAAAAAAAAAAGTGAGCTCTTCTCACTTCCCGCTGATGGTGGAATGAAATCCAGCATCAGAAAATTGTTGTGCTAGCCTTTTTTTCCTTTGTGAAGATGTAAAAGGATCCCTGAACTTCTTTCTATAAGGATATCACTGATCTGCCAAGCATGAGCCCCTGTTTAGTTTTCCATGGAACTCAATAACAGATGCAGAAATTAAATTACAAAAAAAGTTGTGACATTAGGGAATTGTGAACAGTGAGAACCCAATAATTGTGTGTATGTGTATTGATACTGGAGCTTGAACTCGAGGCCTGAGTGCTGTCCCTTAGCTTTTTCACTCAAATCTGTTACACTACCATTTGAGCCACAGCTCTAACTTCTGATTTTTGGTGGTTAATTGGCAATTCTTATGGACTTTCCTGCCCAAGCTGGCTTTGAATCGTGTTTCTCAGATCCCAGCCCCCTCAGTAGTTAGGTGGCATAAGCCCCAGCTCCTGGCTTGAAAAGTCAACAGTTGTTAAAGGCAATAGAAAAAATAAATTGTCCTTGGTTGATTATAGTGGAAAACATCGATTGTCCTATTTGAACCAATTCTGTAAGCTATTTCTGTTTAGAGTTACTTCAGTCCTATTTTAGTGAGTGTTCTCTTTCCAAAGTTATTTGGAGATTCAACGTATGAATGGTTTTCATTGTCAAAACAGTGATGTTCAGCATCACAGAGATGAGAATAACTCTTCCATTTTAATATTGTCTTCCAATAGTATTTTAGTTGTATAATTGGAATTCCAAAAGTAGGCTCTTCTTATGAGAACTTTCTGTTTGGGCTAGTTTCAGTTAGTGAACATTAATTGCAGAATTCTTCCCCTTCTCGCCATCCTTCCATCATTATATATTCAAAGCACATTGATCAATTTCTAGCAATGTTATGCATTAATCATTGAGGGTCCATTCATATGTGAGGTTCTTAACACATTGAGATGTGAATTTACTTGGTGGCAGTATATTGTTGGGGGTGCTTTCTTAGGGAACCTTCCATTTCAAGCCTCTCAGCACTCCTCATCATACCTAGCAAGATAATCCAGAGTAATATGTAAGAATTCTGGATTTCTTATATTTCACAGGTCCTAACACAGATATTTTCACTGTGGGTTTTGAAAATCTTGACACATTTTACTTTGTTATGGAGTTGAGAAAAGATACTTGTATTCTGTTACTTAGAAGCAGGTCTGCCATTAATTAAATCTGGTTGATTGGAGCTGTAATATTGCCTTTGTAGAGTCTAAGAAACTTAGAGCACCATGAATGACAACACTTGTATATTAAATAACTACTGCATACCAAGATGCTTTCTACGTTTGCCAATCCAGTCTACCCATCACCTACCCTTCTTTTCTCTCTTGTTATGGTGTCTCTGTTTTTCTTTTGCTCCTGGATTTAAATTGAGAGATGTTTTAAGCAGTGGTGACCTTCCTAGCTGCTGGAGGGAAAGAAGGGATGGACCAAGCCCACTCTGGAGATTTGTGGCAAATAGAAAAGACTGATGATTGCTTTAGAAACATCTGTCCTGCCTTGTTGATCTGCTTGTTGCACCTAAGCTCTGGGGCCAGCATGCAAAACAACAGGGAAAAACAGGACCCCAGGCTGCAGAACAAGTGTGAGTGTAGACTGTGTGACTCCTAATAGCTGTGTGAGTGGAAAGTCTGATGATGGGAATGAGAACAGCGTGTCTGTAAATTGATTGTAAATACTAGGCAAGAGAAATTGTGCAAACAGTTATTATTTTTAAGGAAGGGATTTGCTTTGATTCCTGTTTATATCAGCAGTGGAAACTCTACCAGGTACTTGTTCCTCTGGTTCCTTCCTGACTCCTGTTTTGTATATGTTCATCCCCCTCAAAGGAGAAAAGAATTTTTCTTTTAATGGTTACAATTCTGATTTTTTTCTCTGTCTTGATCACTGCTTAAAACTCAGAATGAACTCATGGAACTCAGAAATCTTGAGTAATCCCGTGATGTGCAGTGATATGATGCAGTGCTTTTTATAAGCATCTATTTTTGTGCAATAGCTATTTTAGTAGTTAAAAAAAAGGACCTGGAGAAAGTATAATAAATTTTTCACAGAATTCTGTCCCTTCTTGGGATTCCTCTGTCATCTATGTAATCTGTTGCTACATTGCAGAGTCAACCACAGTATATAAACCGGTTTAATATTAGAACAGTCACTCTTGCTGGGACTCGGGGTCAATAGCACACCTCCCTCCTTTGCTTCCTTCATTTCCTCCCCAGTAATAACCATCATTTCCTTCTAGTCCCACTGTACGCTTCCCTGCCCACTCTCATCACCTCTTCCCAGAGCCCTGTAGCTTGCTCTTGACTCACTGTCTCCTCACCACCTCAACAATTCCAGATTCCCTGAATATGGCTCATTCATGCTCAAAATCCTTCAAAGATTTTTCCATTTTCTCCTCTTCCTCTTCCCCCCCCAAAAAAAGCAGATTTCCTTATTTGGATCTTGGGAAGATAAGAATGTGGTCCAGGGCTGGAAAGGGGCTCAGTGGTAGAGCGCTTGCCTTGCATGCATGAGGCCCTGGGTTCGATTCCTCAGCACCACATAAGCAAAAGAAAAAGAAAAAAGCCGGAAATGGCGCTGTGGCTCAAGTGGTAGAGTGCTAGCTTTGAGCTGAAGAGCTGAGGGACAGCTCCCAGGCCCAGAGTTCAGGCCCCATGACCGGACCCCCCCCCAAAAAAAAGAATGTCCAGCCTCATAGCCCATTGTCCAACCTGTACATTCTTGTCTACCAGTAAGTCTTAAATTCACCCACCTCACCGTCTATGCCTTGTCTTTCTTGCATGGAATTCACACCCACCTCCCCTCAATCTTGCTACCTGTCTGGGTGTCAAGGAGCAGCTTCTGTGACACTCATAGTCACTTAAGCTGCATCGCCCTCTCTCTTTTCTCTGAACTTTCATAGGACTTTTATATAGTATTTGACATAATGTCTTTTTTATATATCAATCTCTACAATGTATTCTGAGATCTATTTTTTATTGTTGCCATTGATATTGGGTTTGAACTCAGAGCTGTATATTTGCTAAACGGGAACTCTACTACTTGAGCTATGCCCACCTCATTTTGCTTTCATGATATTTCAGATAGGCTCTTGCTTTCTACCAAGGCTAACATAGATGGTATTCCTATGTATGTTTCCCACATAGCCTGGATGACAAACGTGAACCACCCCCCTCTGCTTTTTAATTGGTTGAGATGGGAGTCCCATGAACCACCCCCCTCTGCTTTTTAATTGGTTGAGATGGGAGTCCCATGA